ATTTTGCCCTGCTATCTTTTCTCACGAGGTATAGAGTGACAACTTGGTTTACTTCAAAATTTCCAAAAGTGCTGATTTCATTTGATAGCCTAGTGGGGGATCCTTCATTAGTTGATCGTGTTTCGAGTCTTGAAAGGATCCCTTCAAATTTTGTGATCTGGTCTCTGCCTCCAACCGGTTTTGTTAAAGTGAACGTGGATGGTGCTATGGATAAAATGTGGGTGAAAGGTGGCATCGATGGGCTGCTCAGAGACAAGAAAGGTGAGGTGTTGGGATCGTTTAAGAGAGAGTTGGTCTGACCCTCCAATTCTGGCAGAATTGATGGCAATTATGAGAGGGCTGAGGCTTTTCTTGGAGTCGGGGATGTCGACGAATCGAAGGCTTGTTTTAGAATTCGATAGTGTTGTGGCTGTTGATTGGATCAAGAATCCTGCTGCCACCACCCCGTTGTTTTTATCCATATTTAAAGATATTGTCTTGATTGTGGTTGATAAAGGTGTTATTGTTAGGCATGTGTTGAGAGCAGCTAACTGGGAAGCGGATAAATTTGCTAAGCTAGGTACAGGCTAATTAGTTGGGATATATTTGTTGCATTGAGTTTTTTGTATTTGAGGAAGTTTTGGTTATATTTGTCAATTGTGTTATGTTTCCGTTTGGTTGATTGTTTTTAGGATATATTTTTCTTGAGTTGGGTTTGGTCATTGTTGTGTTTCTGTAGTTTAATGTTGATCATTGTTGAGGTGGTAGTCAGGTTGTGTTTGGTGGTATTGTACTCTTCTTGTACTTGTTATTTATGCAATAAAATTTTGAGACACTCTTTTCGTCTTTTCAATGTCTGTTGAGCCACTCTTGACGGTTATGAAGGAGTTTTTTTAACGCTCCCTTTATAAAAAAAGAAGAAAAAGAATGCAAATTGAAGCTTTTATGAATCTTTCTGAAACATGAGTGAACTTGACCTTAAGAGGACAAGAATTTTTTGCCAGCTCTTCAGCAATTAATCACCGACTTTAGCCTGAACTGTTACCTTGTAAAATGTTCAGAATAGAAATTTTAGCTTTTATGAATCTTCCTGTTCTTATTTTGCAACATACGTGACTTTCTTTATGCTCTATCATTTTGCAATGTTTTGCTTTGTTGCATTCTCTTAATTCTTCCTCTTTGTTATCAGACAGGCTGTCGTAACTTACTCATGTTCTTGGTCTATCTTTCTCATTGTTGACAATATCTTGCTCTATTTCCATTCTTTTTTTGATCTTGTAATTAAATTCTATGATTTGATTTGCTCATGTAACTACTGTTCCTTCAGGTTTTAACTACGGTTTTTGATCTTGTAATTAAATTCTATGATTTGATTTGCTCATGTAACTACTGTTCCTTCAGGTTTTAACTACGGAAGGGTTTGAGTACCTTGGTTTCCTGATTCAATTCGATGATAAGGGATCTGAAGCCGTTCCTTTAAGCCAAGCTGCTCCTTTTTTCGCTAATTCTGATCCAGACATGCCTGCTGTTCCTGTTACAGTATCACAAGTTCATGATTGGCTTCTGCAAACTATAGCTTCTTCTTTGGAACGTGTCACTGAAAAAGCTTCTGCAAAAGAAAATGGTCCTTCTTTTGGCTCTGACCAGGACGTTACTATGACTGATGCTAGTCCACGTTCAGCCAAAGCCTCACCTAGTGCGAGGAGTCCATTTTTCATTGAGGGAGTCTCTAAATCATCTTATGTAAAGCAGGCATCTGATATTAACAATTCTTCTGTGAAGGTTAGTTTATGTTTGCATTGTGGTTTCATGAAATTGGAGAATTTTCATGGAGTATCCACTGTATACTTTTGCAAAACCTAAAAGTTGTTGGCATAGACTAATTAGCATACAACTTTCCTCAAAATTTGAAGGTTCCAATAATTATTGTTTGATATCCGATTATTCCAACAAATTTTATTAAAGTCTCGATGATTGTTTGACATTTAAGCACATTGTGGCTTGAAACACCTCTAACTTTACATGATTTTATGATTTCAGGTTATTAATTGCCATGATTCAACTATTTACATTTTAGCGCCTTTGAGATATGTCGTCATTTATGGATGCTCGGATGCTACTATTGTTCTTGGAGCTGTTGGCAAGGTATTATTGCCTTTTGTGCTGTTAGCTATTTGTGTTGCACTAATTTTTGGAACCAGTGGAACATTTTCTGCTACTTTAATTTGGATACAAATTTGTTTTCCTTTGCTAATACAGTACTCTTGTTCAAATTGCTGAGAACATATCTCCGGTCTTTTGAACTGAAACTTGGAAATCAATTTGTCTTGTTGTTTCTCCTTTAATGTTCTTATTCACCGTTCTACTGACTGGAAAATGTCGATCACTATTAAAGAAGTTACCAACTTGTTTCTTTGTTACTAAAGACAATCGAAAGGTGATCATACATCTTACTGTTTGATTCCTTATGTTTTTACTTCTAGAATAGGGCTGTTGTCTATCTTTCCTTTCATCTGCCTAGCACGTCTAATCTTTTTTGCTCGTGGTTGGAATGTCTCTAGGTGTAATGTAAAGAGATCAATTTTCTCATTTTGAAAATCTGTCATCTAATGCTTGTTGGTCTGTTTTTAATTTGAAAAAATATGTAACAAGTACTGAACTTCTAGATGAATAGCTTCTTTTCATCCCTGCTCTCCTGAATTTCTGGCTTTGCCCAAGTTGCAAAGTATAAACTGAAATATGGCCATGCACACGCGGACAATCAAATTATATTGCTAAAATTGTTAAACCAATAATAGATGTTTTCTCGCTCATACTTGATATATGCCTATGTCATCTTTGTATCAAGTCATGTATCAAATTTTGCTGATGGTTCTAGTTATGGCTTTCTATAATATTATTTATTGTTTGCAATAATTCTTCTCCTATGAGAACACTTTATGTGCTCTCCCCACCTCCTCTCTTTTCATATTTTATTTTTACGTATTGTACTCCCTTGTAAACTGATGTCCACACGCCTTAACTGTCAATTTATTTCCAGTTCAAGTATGATATGCTTTCAGTCACAAATCTAATATGATATCTTTTGGTCATTGCAGGCTGTAAGAGTTGAACATTGTGAACGTGTTCATGTGATTATAGCAGCGAAACGAGTCTGCATTGCCAATTGTCGAGAGTGTGTATTCTTTTTGGGAGTGAACCAACGTCCCCCTTGTTCTTGGCGATAACCACAAGTTACGGGTGAGTGAACCAAACCAACCACTTTACATTGCAAGGAGAATTTAATTTAATCACACTTGAGTTTTAGCATATCTACATCTAATTATGCTGAAAAACAGAATAAGAAACCTTTCAGATCAGTGGATGATAGCATCTTAAGAAGGCATTTTGTGCTTCTTTCTCCAGCTGCTCGATATGGGCCCCATACATATCACGGCTTAATCTTTGACTACATTTTTCACTTTTCAGTTCCATCTTGCTTGTATTTCGTGTTGGTTTTTGGGTGTTATCACCAGTATGAACTTGAATAGTTAGGACTACTGACAGTTTGGAAACTCTTCTTAAATTTTATCAGATGGCTCCATATAATACGTACTACTCTCAATTGGAGGAGCACATGATTGATGTTGGCATCATATCAACTATCAATAGATGGGACGAAGCGTTGCCAATTGGAGTGGTTGATCCACATGATTCATTATCTCATCCTGCAGGTGTTTCTGATGCTCGAACCGAGTCGACTACACGTCTAGATCCTGATCAGTTCACAAATTTCCTGGTAAAGCTTAGATGTGTATATTTCATAGCTTAGCTTGGGGTACTTGCGCATCTTTATTTATTTATCTGATATTGTTTGAGGATGACATAAGGATTTCATAAAACACAGATTCCAAATTGGTTTGAAGCTGCATCTACTGGATCAACAAAGGACAACCCTTTCCCCTTACCTGATGCATACCTGACATCTCAACTCAGAAATGTAAATGCAATAAAGCCTAACGGAGGATGACAAACTTTTGACTATAGTTTGAGTAGTTTTATACCTTCAATCCAGAATCAATGTTTATTTAAAATCAATGCTTGATATTTTTAATCTATTCAATTTTGATTTAACTGAAATTTTGCCTTCCTCCTAATGTTATCAACAGCAAAATAATTTAAGTGAGATAAAGCAAATATTGAGAGAAGCACCTCTTGAAGACAATCGGAAAAAGAGAGCTATCGAGTGCTCTTCATGTGTACTTCAGAGACTGGTTATATGGTATGTCCATTTCTATCTTTTCTATTGTTAAGTTCATCTTTATATTTCCTTATGTGGCGTTTTTTATTATTGTTCAGGCATATTCATGGCTATAATTGTTTACTCGGTTTTGTTGATAATATTATATGGCAGCTTCGGGAAATATTCGTCAACTGTACTGCCTACAAGGCGACTGATACCACAGTCATGTGGCATGTTTCGACGAGTTATAGAAGAATAGTTTACAGTTTTCTTTCGGTTTCAACCCTTTGCCAGTTCGTCTGTAGGTACAACAGGCGGCTGAGAATCACCCTTGTAATTGAGAGCAGCAGAAAAATATAAAAAGATTATGGATTGGCTCATGTGCCCAGATGCTAATCTCAATGTAATATTCTTTTTTGATGAAAAGAAATAATTTATTTTTGTCTTGTGATCGGTTATATCTCCTTGTCCGTCCCTGTGAATTTGAATTCTCAAATTTTTTTGTATCCAGGTTTTTCTTCTAATTTGCTTTTCTAGCTCTTTTGGTCTCTACGACTCTATGGCACCAATGTCAGAGAAACCAGACTGGATTTGTGAGTCAAACCGGTCCCCGGTTCAGTACATTGAAAATTCTATGGAAAAGCTTATCTGAAGGTAATAAAACGGTTGGCTAACACCTTTCTATTTAGCATGTTTTAGCCTTGCACGTACACAAAAAAACAGGGGGTTGCTTGGGTTTTCATTGAACTACTTGGAGCGGAAATCAGATGCTGAAAAAACTGAAAAATTAGTTTAGGCACATGAACAAACCAACATTTGCACCCGCATAGAGCGGAAAACCGAAGGCATAAACACTGAAAAGTACACGCATAGGTTCAGGCACAACAACATGCCAACATCCACAGTAACGAGAATCACGGCAAACCTAGAGAGTGCGGTGAATATGCTGCATGGAGGTGTCGTCCATGTCAGGCGGCTCAAGTTCCATGTATTGCCTCCTGCTTTGGTGAAGCCCACCGGAAAACTGACTGTTAATAGGCTCTGAGAACTGGGCCAGACCGAGATGAGGCGGTATCTTGTGAGAACTACTACCGGAGTTGTTGCCTTTGAAACCCCAAGATATGTTTGAATAGGGGTTCATAATTGCACCATGAGGCATTGCTGGTTGAGACACAGGAGAAGAGACCTCGGAATTTATCATGTCGTTTATCCCAGGAGACAATGCCTGATTTCTGGAGCCCCATGGCTGATTTGACAGAAGAGAGAGAGCACGGTTTGAATCAATAACTCCTGCTAAGCATTCTCCCGAAGGAATCCCAGCACTAGAAAAGCCAGTCTCAGCTGGAGTTCCCTGCAGGAAAAGGTTCGACGAAAGATCCTCTGAATTGTTTTGCCATGGATTTGGAACCCATCCTGTAGCTGTGTTTTGGTTTGCAGATACGTGTTCTGATGATCTCGATGTCGGCCACACATCCCTCCTGGAAAGCCTTGGGTAAGCCGTGAAATCCATGATAAAGCTTCCACCTCTGTTGCCGGTTTCTGTCATAATAAGCATCAAATTGGGACACCAATACGTAGAAACTGCATCATTCCCTTTCTATTTACCTAACAAAGAAGAATCTTAAAAAAATAAAAGATGATAACAATCTAACCGATAATGGATGAAGAAAGACGGTCATAACGAGAGGATAATAATGATCCCAGTGGTGGTTTCCTCCTTCGCTCATTATGACCTGCTAGCCGTCTACGGCAGCTCCGTTTCTCTTGGTCAAATTCAGGAAGCTGATGAAATCTAAATAGACACTACCACATAGGATATCAAACCAAACAAAGATCAAGAAATAGATGGCCATACAATAAAGGATTCCTTTTGCAACCCAAGATGGCAAAAAAAAAAACATAATTCGTAAAAGCAATTACAAGTATGGCTAGCATGCAAGGAACTCAACCATTGTCTAAGCTGCTCTCACCTAAAATCGCTCATCAGTGCATACAAAATCTATACAGCTCCCAATATATGTTTGAACATTGTGACAAAATCTAAACAATTTGCCAAAAACCAAGCAATTAACCAAAAATTACACTCATTACTCATATAAAGTCCATAATCCATACCCCTTTACTAGAATAGGCTCCATTGTGCAACTCCAAACTCAAAGAACCGAAAACATCAGGAAAAAAAGCACTAAGAACCCACAATCCGAGCTCATTTTATACGAGTTTAAAACAAAGAAACGAGATACTTGCATTAAACAACTGCCAATTAAGAACACTACAAGCTCTTCAACTAACTATTACTGCAAAGGAAAAGGCTAAAAATATTGGGAAAATGAGAAAGATAAGAGCAATAAATGAGGGGTGACCTGCTACACTGCTGACAAAACCTTTGCTCAAGACCAGCAACAATGACTTTAGGCGCCTTAGAGTGCATACCACAAACTTTATGCCTTGAATAGTAAGCTTTAGCATCACTCAGATCCACTTGGCACCCTTCCACTTGACATCTTGGGGGTGGAGCACTCTGCACAATTCCACACCTGGGCTTCTTACCCGACCCGGATGAGCTTGAAGACCCGGGACCTGGTTTGGTTGGGGTCCCACCATCAACACCAGCAGCTGCTGCTGCTGCTGCTGCTGTATTCTCGAAGTAGATCTTTTGACCGAATTTCAAGCCGTTGAGTGACTCGGTGGAGGAGTTGGCGGAAGAACCACCTGAGTCTGTCATTGAGCCCGAACCTATTTCCATGACCTCTGTCTACTGCCCCTTCATGAGTACTTTTGTTTGCTTACTGTGGGTCATTTTTCTTATCTCGCTTTACGCTATACAAACACCCCCAAGAAAAATAATAAAAAAGTGGACAGGACCTGATTAGAACAATATTATTTTAGCTTGAAATTTGAAATTAGAAGTGTAAATAAGTCGAGCTTTAACAAATGAGATTATATTTGAGTTTTTTATTTTTTAAAGATGTTTGTATTTGATTCGTATTTCATTTAAATTTTTAATATTATATTTGTGTTTTTTTATTTATTTTTGAATGCATTCATATTTATTTATTTTTGAATGTATTCATATTTATTTATTTATTGTTCGCCAATATATTCGTTTAACATTTGTTTAGTGTTCGTTTATATGTTAAATTTTTTATTTTATCTTTTTATTTGCAAGCTAAAAAAATAAAATTATAACATTAGTGCTTAAACTCTTTAAAATTCACAATTTAAATTTTAACATTTATTATGTGTCCAATTTAATCTCAACATTATCAATATTTAAAATAAAAAAAGAAAATAGATAAACAATATTATTTATAAACATAAAAAAATATGTTGATAAATGAGTTTATAAACGAATTTATAAACGAGTTTGTTTATGAATATAAACAAACCGAATATATTTTTATTTATTTTTGTTCGTTTATTAAATGAACATAAATTTTTTTATTCATCTCCTTTTATTCATCTTAATAAACGAATATAGATAAATATTATACAAACAATTCACGAATAATTCATCGAATGTTATGTTTATTTATATCTTTATTTAAAATTAAATTATAACTTTGTTCTATGACTTGAGGACTTTTTCTATAATTAATCCAATAAAAGGTAAAGGTCAAAAATAGACACCTGACACTGAAATTGAACCCATGCCAGCAAGAGAGTCTACTCGGGAACTTTTGTCTGTCACTTAAAATGTGAAATAAAAAATAATAAAAAGGAAAAAGGAAATGGAATTTGAATTAAATTATAACTTTGTTCTATGACTTGAGGACTTTTTCTATAATTAATCCAATAAAAGGTAAAGGTCAAAAATAGACACCTGACACTGAAATTGAACCCATGCCAGCAAGAGAGTCTACTCGGGAACTTTTGTCTGTCACTTAAAATGTGAAATAAAAAATAATAAAAAGGAAAAAGGAAATGGAATTTGACAGTTGCCTTCCCTTTACCTTTTATTTAAGAAAAAATAATTTCAGTGACCAACTATCACAACGAATTTGGAATGAATCGCAACGCGAACTTCACCTATCTCAACGAATTTGGAATGAATCGCAACGCGAACTTCGCCTGTCGCAACGAATTGGAATGAATCGCAATACGAACTTCGCCTATCGCAACGATTTGGAATGAATCGCAACGCGAACTTCGCCTATCGCAACGAATTGGAATGAATCGCAACGTGAACTTCGCCTATCGCAACGATTTGGAATAAATCGCAACGCGAACTTCGACTATCGCAACGATTTGGAATGAATCGCAACGCGAACTTCGCCTATCGCAACGAATTTGGAATGAATCGCAACGCGATCTCCGGTATCGTAAATCAGTTTTCAGATTCGCAACGCGATAGTCGAAGTTCGCATTACGATTTATTCCAAATTCGTTGCGATAGGCGAAGTTCGCGTTGCGATTCATTCCAAATCGTTGCGATAGTCGAAGTTCGCGTTGCGATTTATTCCAATTCGTTGCGATAGGCGAAGTTCACGTTGCGATTCATTCCAATTCGTTGCGATAGGCGAAGTTCGCGTTGCGATTCATTCCAAATCGTTGCGATAGGCGAAGTTCGTATTGCGATTCATTCCAATTCGTTGCGACAGGCGAAGTTCGCGTTGCGATTCATTCCAAATTCGTTGCGATAGGTGAAGTTCGCGTTGCGATTCATTCCAAATTCGTTGTGATAGTCCAAATATTGCATTAGTTTCTTAAGAATTTTCTCTAAAAATATAGAATTCGCGCGGACGTGTCGAAGACACATATTACCACGACCACGACCACGACCCGACCCGAATTTGGAATGAATCGCAACGCGAACTTCGCCTATCGCCCCGAATTTGGAATGAATCGCAACGCGAACTTCGCCTGTCGCAACGATTTGGAATGAATCGCAACGCGAACTTCGACTATCGCAACGATTTGGAATGAATCGTAACGCGAACTTCGACTATCGCAACGATTTGGAATGAATCGCAACGCAAACTTCGACTATCGCAACGAATTTAGAATGAATCGCAACGCGAACTTCGACTATCACGTTGCGAATCTAGAAACTGATTTGCGATACCGGAGATCGCGTTGCGAATTATCGATCGCATTGCGATTTACTTGGTCATTTTGGCAAATCCAAAAAAAGTTGGTCAAAATCGTATATTACAATGCATTTTCGGTCACTGAAGTTATTTTCTCTTTATTTAAATACCAGCTTTAAAAAATGTTTTTAAATTAATATTTATATCAATATAATCATTAAATACTAATTATGTAATTATCTTAAATTATTTTTAAAAAAATTATGCGTCATTTCCTTTTATTTACATCCTAAAACATAATCCTCAAAATTTTCTTTCTATCTTTCTCAATAATCACTTTCTCTAAAAATGGAGTATTCATCAATTTTTATTCTTATTTTTTATTTCAATAGAAGCTTGTCAAATCTTAAAAAATATACATTTCGTAAAATATTATTAATAATAGTATCCAATTTGTCCCGTAAGATGAGATATTAGATATTTTTAAGTAAAGTCAAAAATTTAAATTCTGACATTTACGAATAGAGCAAATTGGGTTGGGAAGATCGCTCTCGCCTCTACAGTACCCGATCTAGATTAGTCGATCAATCAATCAGATACTAATGATTAATTAAGAAAATATTACGAAGTTCAAATATAAATCATAAAATAAACCTACATCAATTATTTTATTAAATTAAAGTGATTATAAAATAATATATTTTCTAAGTACTCTTAAGACTAACTCCAGCATCTCCAAAGTAGAGAAAATCTCCACTTTAAAGATGAATTTCAACTCTAACTCATCACTAGAGTATAGTTTGGAATGTGGAGATGCTACAGTGATACTCTACATCTGGCGCAACATTGTAGCTGCGCTATATAATATATATATTTTGTTATTTTTCTGATTTTTTATATTTTTTTACTTTCTTTTTTTTCTTTTCCTTTTCTTTGTTACATTATTTTCTCTTATTTTCTCTTTTATGTTTTTTATTGTAATTTCTACACAATAAAATAAAAATTAAACATAATATAATAAATTCAAGTATATTAAATTACAAGATAGAAAAAAAATACATTGAAATTAGATAAATAAACATACTAATAGTTAAATATTGTGAATAAAGTAGAGTTGGTGGTAATGTAGAGATAGTGTTGGAGATGAATTATTGTTTCATCTTTAGAGTAGAGATAGAGATGTTGTAGAATAGAGATGAGGGTTGGAGATGACCTAACCATTTAACAATGAATGCTCAGTCATCCTGCTACAACTGTTGATGCTCAAACTGGTGACCTATGCGAACAACAATAATTCTATTAATTACTGAACTAAGTTAATTCATGCATAAACGTATATTATATCCAAAAATATTAATGTATGCATATTTCATATTTTGAAATAATATAATGTAAAATAAATATACTAAAGAATATTTTAATTTCATAAGCCGCATTAAGATTTTATCACACGTTTCGTTTATATGTTAGTTGTTTATAAATGACAAACGCATTCCATATTAACTAAGTCTCTTATGTTTAGCGTTTGATCGAATTTGATCATCAATTCAAAAATTAAAGAAGAATGGTTCCTAACGTTATTTATCCGTTCGATTTTAATCTCTAACATTATTGATTCGTTCGATTTTAGTCTCTAAGCCATGTTAAAGATTTAAACAAAAGGGGGTTAACAAAAATTAATGACAGAATTAAAATCAAACGGATCGGTAATATTAAAATCATTGTTCCTTAATTTTTAAATTAATGATCAAAATCAACCAGACCTTAAACATAGGGGACTGTTTGCTTAGTTTACCCAAGGTTTAATAAATTACAAATCTTAAGGCCCCGTTTAATTCAAGGAATGTTGTATTACCGAGGGAATGAAATCCTTATTCCCCTGTTTGGTTGGCCGGTAATCCCATTTTCGGTAATCTTTTATTACCAACAGTGGATTTTTTGGGATATATTAATGGGAATATGATTATCCATTCCCTTAGGTATTGTTGATTACCAATATTTTGGACTAAAATGCTTTTAATTTTTTTTTCTAAAAATATTCTTATTATGTGGTTGAATAATAAAAATTATACGAAGGTTAAATTATAAATTTATCCTTAAACTATTTTAGATTTATAAAAAAAGTCTATAATAAAAATATACTTAAAAATTCAGAGGTTAAAATAAAATTTTACTCTTTCATTAAATATATTTATCTTTTTAATTTTGTAAAAAAATTATATAAATTTTATGAATTTAAATTTTTTTAAAGAAAATATATAAATTAATTACAATAATATTATAATAGATTTAAACTTGTTAAAAAAACAAATATATAATAAAGATAATTTAATTAAATATACATTTCAATAATCTTTTATTCCTTTAACCAAACACGGTAATTTTACATTTTTATTAAACTATCCAAACATAAAATATAACATTCTCAATAATCCTATTCACTGATAATCTTTTATTCTCATCGAGTATATTTTAAAGTGAATGAAGTGACGATTTTGAGGGCAATATTGTCGGGAAATTGTGAAAAATTAATGAGAAGATGACTCTGTTTGAAAAATCCTGCAAATAGATTTTGTGCAATACTGAAAAATTGAACACTGTAATTTCCAATGATGACTAAAAAATTGACTGTTTATTTTAATAATTTCCAGATTTGGGTGGAGTTCATCATTATCCTTAAATTAAAACGCTACACATTTAACGATAACAATTTGGTATAGTTAAATGATGCATTAAATATATTAAGTAAGATCATAGTTTAAAATATGACGTTTGTAAATAGAATAAATTAGATTGGATTAGTCGCTCTCGTCTTTGTAGTATTCGATTTAAATTAATCGATCAATAAATCAGATACAAATGATTAATTAAAAAAACTACACTTTTCACTTATTGCTTGTTGGGAATTAATTTATCAAACAAACTGAAAAACTTGTTCTATAGGAGCTTTCGTCTCTAGTTTTCTATGAGACCCAAAATGTCTCGAAATGAGAACACATATACGGAATTATTCTAAAAAATTAGATTAATATTTCAATAAAATATATTTCATTTGAGTTTTTAACGTTTAATTCAATGTTTAAAAATAATCTAAAAGATAATATAATAAATTTTTAATTTTTAAATTAAATTATTAATAATATTAATATTTTGTATGTTAGTTTTTAGAAAAAATAATATAAAGTTTTTATGTATTTAAGGTTTAAGTTTAAACTCAGTTTAAATTGAAATCGAACTTGAGTTTGAGTTTCAACCGAGTTAAATCTAGTAATATTTCAAGTTCAAATTTTTTCAAGCTCGAATTAAATTTTAATTTTTTTGGTTTGAGTTAAGCTTAAAAATTCTAAACTCGTTAACTTTGGAGTTGAGTCGAGTCAACTTTAAATTTTTATTTTAAATTTGGATTAAACTCGATAATTTTAAGCTCTTAAACTTTTGAGTTGATTGAAACTCAACTTTAAACTTTTTAAGTTAATGTTAACAATATTTGAACACAGATCAACTCTTTTTCGCCCAAGGTTTACCTAAGGCATAGTTATAATTTATTTTAATTTTTAGGGTAAATTAAACAATCAATACCTAAATTATCAGTTTTAATTTATTTTAGTATCTAAATTTCATTTTTTTCAAAATCATAACTGAAGTTTAGCTTTTTTTTCATAGTAATATACCATCGTTAAAAATTTTAGCTTTTGTTTTATTTTAGTAATTCGTTTAAAATTTAACGTTAAATTTTGATTTTTTAAAGTTTAGATACTAAAACGAACCAAAACTAATAATGAGGTATTAAATGCGTTAAGTTTTTAGCGATAAGGTACTAAAATAGAATGAAAATTAAACGTTAGATATGATTTTAAAAAAATTAAAAATTTAAATACTAAAATAAATCAAAATTTGATATTTTAAATATTAAATGTCTAATTTATCCTAATTTTTATTTATGGAAGAGAGTTTGCTTATTTTCCCAAAGTCTTGTATACCGTACCTTTCAGTACCCTATATTTTAATTCAAATTTAAAATATTATTTATTTAAGTTAAATTTAAATTTAATATAAGGGATTATAAAAAGTTAACTGTTCAAATTTATGTAGTACGAAGTTAAAGTCATCCTAAGTCAAAATTATAATGATTTAATAAATAAATTACGAAGTTAATAAAAAAATTAAATTTAAAATAATTCAGATTTAAAGAGATCTTAAGTCGAAGTAAACCAATTCAAATTAGTTTTAAATTTTTTTAAAGTAACACTATAATATATTTATTGGTTAAATAAAATATCATTAACAATGTCTTATAATATGCATACAAAACAAATAGATTCATGTCTATTATAAGAAAAATATATTAGTGATTGACCATTGACAGTCTAATTGATCAAGAACTAAACAATTGAGCCAACAACATATAGAGATTGATCACTCCGACTTTCTAAAGTGTTAGACATAGATGAGGAAAACATGAAGAATGTTTGAAGTGAACGAATGAAAAATGAATCTTCATAAAGTGTTAGACATAGATGAGGAACACATATATTTGATAACCAACAAAATAACATACGCAAATGAACAAATGAATCATGCATCGAAAAAACAACCAACCATGAAATCCCGAAGAACCATAGACCAAGAATAAAACCAATGGAAGAAACCTGCACCGAGAGTCCAAAAGCACCGGTAATCATGATATCTTTTACTAGAAAAATGATAAAAAAGAAAATATTATCTTAAATACGCTAAAATATAACTGAAAATTAATAAAACTGAATAATAAAAAAATAAAATGACAAGAAAATGGATGGAGGAGATCACCATTGTTGCCGTGATGAAAAGGTTTTGGTAACTACAAAGTAGTTTTGTAACTGCAAACGAGGTTTTGTGAAGAAAACTAATAAAAAGAATTATAGTTTAAATTTTTTTAAATAAAAACAATTCGAAAACTGAAATAAATGGATGTAGTATATCGAAAATATTAAAATTGAAAGAAATTGATTTTAGACAGTTGATTTTTTTTGGATAAGTAAAATTTTATTCATCCAAAAAAAAACAGCAAAGCTACTACAAAAAACTTTACAAACAACTAGATTAGATCTCAATCTAGGCACAACCGCCTATTTACATCATCCATCCTATTCATGTGACACCTATACAGCTTAATTCTAACCGCCTCTCTTATATTATTGACAATTGTATCAACCGAACGAATCACCCCTCTAAAATGCCTGTGATTACGTTCTTCCCAAATGAAATAAACAAAACCAGTCCAAGCTAGCTTAAAAATATGAACTAAGAGGGACTTACCCTTCAAATTCGAGATCATCCAACAAAGAGCATCATCCCAACAATTAAGCTCCTGTTGTTGTACCCCACAAGCATGCATAACAGTACACCATATCTCCCTCATATAGGAGTATTCCAAGAAAAGGTGGTTTCGAGATTCCTGTCTATCACCACACAACCCACACACATTATCAGTCACTATACCAAAACAGGTTAATCTGTCTTTTGTTGGCAATCTGTCAAGTATCACCATCCAAGCAACTAAAGAGAATTTTGGAACATGAGCTGGGAACCATATAAGTCAATGCAATACAACCTTATCCCTCCTGTCCCGAATTCTATCCCAAATTCATCCACCTTTAATCTATGACCAATTAGCAGCAGGACTGAACAATCTCCTAGCCTCCTCCCTCAACTTAATCAGTTTGCTAAGAATCCAGCTGAATTAAGGCTTACTGTCAACATTCCAGTAGTCCACAAATTTAAAGCAATAGTCCTTAATCCAAGCAATCCACAAGGAACCATCCCCAACAAGAATGTTTTTGACAAGCATAAGGCAACAATCTTTACTCCAATCAGCTATATTCCTTAATCCCAAACCACCCTCAGATTTTAAGGAACATACATGATTCCAGCTCACTCTAGCAACTTTTGCTGAGATATCTATGCCCTTCCAAAAAAAATCTCATACAGAGCTTTTCAATGTCTCTTATAACACCCTTGGGCAAGATAAGCTGCCTACTCCAGTAACCAAAAATGCTAAACAAAACAGACTTCACAAGTTGTAACCTCCCCCCAAAAATCAGTTTTCTACTGGACCATTTATCAATCATGTCCTTAATTTTCACAAGTAAAGCCGAGCAATCCTTACTTGTAAGCTTGCGAGTAACCAAGGGCACTCCAAGGTTCCTAACAGGGAGATGACCAACTCTAAATCCAATAGCTCTTAGGATTTGTTCTAATTTATCCGCAGGAACAACACAAGCAAAGAGCTCAGTCTTCATACAATTCAGCCTTAGACCAGAAAGTTCATAAAATTTGTCTAAGGTACTTACAACCCCCATCATAGCATCCAATGACCCATGACAAAACATAAGTAGGTCATCAGCAAAGCAAAGGTGTGTAAGGGTAATTCTTTTACATTTAGGATGAAATCTAAATACACCATTCTTGGCAACAACATCCATCAAAGAAGGGAGAACATTCATCACAATAACAAAGAGATAAGGAGATAATGAGCCCCCTTGTCTAACCCCTCTTGCACCCTTAAAATACCCTACCAATCTACCTTTTAAAGAAATTGAGTACCTAGGGGTAATTACACATGCCCTAATCCAGCCACAAAACACTCCAAGCAATCTCAAAGCTTCAAGAACTGTCAAGAGAAAATCCCAGCAAATTGAATTAAAAGCCTTTTGCAAATCAATTGTTATGGTACATCTAGGAGAAAAGTTCTTTCTAGAGTATCCCCTAACAATCTCCTGAGCAAGCAAGGTATTATCAGCAATATTTATGCCTTTGACAAATGCTGATTGGTTAGGACATATCATACCAGGAAAGTAGAAAGCTAGTCTAGTGACCAAAATTCTAGTGATTGTTTTATAAATCACTAAGCAGCATGAAATGGGCCTAATTTCCTTTGCCATACATGCATTCAAAGATTTAGGCACCAAGACAATGGTAGTGGCATTAAAGGCAGGCAGTAGGGAAGATATTTGAAAGAAATACCTTATAGCATCCAGAAAGTCTTTGCTTACAATCTCCCAAGCAGCCTTGAAGAACCAGGAAGTATACCCATCAGGTCCTGGGCTTGCAAGGAAATCACCAGCTCCAGCAGGTAAAGAGTAGCTCAGAAAAGGCTTCAGCCACTCAACAGAACATCCCTTAACCATTGGGTCAGTAGTGCCAATAAGATTCTTGAAAAAAATTTACTAGTTCAACAACCATAGCATCAAAAGACTCATGATACATCCCATTCTCATCTTTGATGACTTTAATGGTATTCCTCTTCTTTTTTTATTCAACTCTCTGATGAAAGAATATGGTGTTCAAGTCTCCTTCTTGAAGCCAATGAACCTTAGCTTTTTGCCTATAGAATTCTGATTCAGCAGTTTCTAAGGTTACTAATTCTGCCTGAATCTTCTTCTCCTTGTCCAATCTCCTTTGATCAACATGAGCAAGGTTGTAAATCTGAATAAATTCAAGTTTAGCCCTCTTCCCAGCCACTCTACCATCCATTTGAATGCATGTATTATAGTTATTATACCATTTTTTATGCAGTAAATGTTTCTATTTATGTTAATGTCGGTATGATTTTTAAATTATATATATATATATATATATATATATATATATATATATATTATTTGATGCATGGATCAAGTTAACTTAATAATTAAGAGAATAATTGTTATTTTTAAAAGTTTCAGGTTCGAGTACTAGAGATCATAGAATATTTAAGTGTTCATTATCAAATGATTGAGAACCTTTAGAAGAGATAATACCACTTATAAACACTTAAATTAATTAAAAAATATGTCACGTGATGTTTATTTTAAAAGAAAATCAAATTTTGTTTTATTTATTATGTAAATGAATAAAATTTAATTTATAAATTTTATTTTAAATAAATAATTATTGATAAGAATTTTGACTAAATTGTTAAAATAATCATTTTATTTTTTATTTATTAAAATAAACATTTTAATATAATACGAAGGAATGTCTATATGACAACGTCTTTTTGAAAAGTTATTTATTAAGAAAACGTCTTTGCTTACGTGCCAAGTTAATTGAAGTATAAATATAATTTATATTTTGTATATGACATGACAATTAAACAAAGACACTTCTTTAAGGAAGAACATTTCAAAAGGCACTGTAACGTAAATTTGCCTTCTAATATGTGTTAGAAATGAGTTCCACTTTGTACAATAATTTTTTAAGGTTATTTTGACAAATAAAAAATAAAATAATATTATTTCAATAATTTAACCATGGATTTTATTACATATATATTGATTTTTATTTAACTTTTTATTAGAAATATATTTTTAGTCTATTGATAATACACGCACACTCTACAAATACAATTATTTAAATACGAAATTTCTAAAGAGAATAACACTATTCTTCACCACTAAAACCAATCTCTTTGAGATCAAATACAAAGATGAAATCACTGCCAAGAAAGAAACAAGATTGAGAAGTATTAAGAAGGAATTAAGTGTTTTTTCAGGAAGCTTGAAAATTGGAGCGATAAATTTGACGAAATGCTTGTTGTTGGACCGGTAAACCCCACACAGAAAGGACTCAATTTAATTGAAAATGGTATGAAGTTTTCTGGTTTCTCTAGTCAATTATTTAGATCAAAGACATGTAGATGCTGGAGTGAAGCATAATATTACTACTCATATTAAACATTTTGTAGTGAAAAGATTATTGAGTACTCGTACATCCGCTTGAACAAATATGATGAGAACTTCCATGAATTCTGCATTTGACTGTTCTTCTGATCATTTGATGATGCCGAGCCCATGCTAATGTTTATGATTTCCCTGGTTTGGTGCTTTTGATTGGGCTTTTCTGCTGATGCCCCTTCGTTGGGTTTTGAAGTTGCCGATTTGTTTGTGTTTGCCCCGGCTGTTTCTGAGTTGTCATGCTTTCTCTATCTTTTATCGAGTAAACTAACTATTTAGTCCATTGATTGTTTCGTAGTATTTTTGGTCATTTAATTATTTTTAAAAAAATTATAATTATAATTAAATTTTTATTTTTATTTTATTTTAGTCGTTTATAGTTAAAAAATAAATAAGATTCTTTATGTGATATTTTTTTAACCTTTTTAATGATAATTTAATATTATCTTATAGTGATACGCCAACATCATCATTAATATTTAAATGACATATGATTAATATGGAACAAAAATGTAAGTTTAGTGATTATTTAAAATAGTTAGATTTTTCATTCCCAAAAATCTGTTTTCTCTGTTGCAGTTACCACTTATCACATTTCTTTTGCGTCAAGGGCAATGGCTTTGTCCAGCCACTTCCCTATCATTTGTCTTTTTTTCAGTTTATAGCTGGTTGATTTTATTAGTTTTCACTTGTATTTTATCGTATTTCTAATAATGTTTTCTCTTCGCCCTTTTCTGGTAAAGTGTATCATGACTATCGGTGCATTCGAACTCCCGATGTAGGTTTCTTATGTTGGTCTACAATACGATTCTACATGTTTTCTTTGTTGTTTGTTTCTTGATGCATGATTGTTCGTATATGATATTTTGTTGGCTTTCGTATACATGTGTCAGATGAGATTACAATTAAGGGAAGATTGATTTTTCATTGGACCTTTTTTTGGATATTATTCAAGTTCTCTTCTATGTTTGGTGTTCGGGGACGTCGGAGTGATATGTTTCTGTATGTCGTTACCTCAATTATTCACGGTTTTGTTCATCAGGCTGTCACTAGTTAATCATCTTTATATTTTGTTTATGATTATCGTGAATGTATAAATGATATTATTTTACAAGATGCCCTTTATGGTTAATGCACTGTACGTACTTATTTCAGGAAAAAAAATAGTTAGATGATTGAAAGGGAATTACAAGATAGTTAAATGACCAAAGATATAGTTTACCCTTCTTCATTTTATTTGAAGTCTATGTTGTGTGCTTTTGCGTAATTGGGCAGATGGTTCAGGGTTCGGTCTGCTTCTAGTTATGTTTGATTTCTCATCCACTGTCTCTTTATTTTTGAGTTGATGTACTCTAAATCTTTTAGCAATCTAATATTTATGGTTTTCTTCCTTCAGTTTAATTAAATTAAGAAAAAAATTAAATGATTCCTCTTTGGTTTGTTAGTGATCTTCATAACACTGTTATTCTCGATGTTTTGGTTTGAATGAATGATATTTTACCTTAATATTGTTTATCTTCTCTTCATTGACATCTATGTTCCATTACAATATTGCTTTTTTGTTTCTAATTATTGTTTGTAATTATTTAATGTCAAATTAAGTAGATTCTCGGTTGTAAAAAAATATATAAAAAATAATAAAAGATCGTAAAAAAATATGGAATATTCGCTATTAAAACTCTGAGAGTATAAAAGTTAAAAAATTTATTTTACAAATGCTTAACATTATAACTTGTCAGCTATGCCCAACTTGATTTAATTTATATTTGTTACTTAGCGAATAGCCGAGTACCTATGGACGACAGCTGATTATGATAAAAAGAAATGATAACTTTTTTTTTTACTTTTTTACGGCTGACTTGCCTTGGTTTAAAAATTAAAATTAAAATTAAAATTTTAAAGTTTAATTTTATAAAAACATTAAATCTATACTTTGTTATAGACAATTATTTTGTTTACAATTGGTAGATATTTTCTATTCTATAAATAAGTTCAAAATATATTCAGTATAAAATGAGATTAATAGAAAGATGTAGATATTATTTAAGTAGTAAAAGTTATGGCATCTCTAATTTTCCCACCACGTTTACTGGCTAATTAGAGATGCGGACACATTTGGTAAAATTGTGACATTGTTTGGGTAATAAGTGGTGTGTGACTTAATAGTTGAAACGGGCCCCCTGGTTTATTTTCTTAAATTTCGTGTCGTATGACCAATTGCCTGGTTCTTAGGGTGCAATCATTATCTGGTGTGAATTTTTTTTTTTGACATTTGTGGCCTTTTATTATAACAGTTAAAACAAAATAGGTGGACAGATCCCACATTGTAAACAAAGACTAAAAACAGTTTCAACAAATGTAAAGCAAATCAAACGTAGATAAAAAAAAGGAGCATTGTCTCAGGATTTGCAGGAGACTCTAGAACGGAATTGTCTCAAGAAAGGCAGATTAATATATAATTAATATATAGTATTACTGAATATATTAAAAGATATTTAATAAATTCGGTTTAGCATTACCTATTATGTTGACAGACTAATAATGTTTTAGGTAGAAAATATAAAAAATTATTAAAAAAATTAGTAACCGGTAAACTTTGGTTATAGGTAAATATCTATCCTTTTTATAAAAGTGTACATGCTTTCAACATATTATATAAATTTTATCGGTTTTGTCATAATGAAATTAGTTTTGTCATATTTTTACCTGTTATATTGTAAAATATTTATCCTTTTTATAAAAGTGTTCATACTTTTTTCAATGTGTAAAATATTAATTTAAGGTTATTTTTTAAGTGAGTTTTAAGAAATTAATTTAGTAATTATAGGCGTCTAATAATTTATTTTTTACGTTACGGTATATATTATTATTAAATTAAAAACAATAAACATATATATTACATATTTATTATTATCTTTGGTTAATATTGTTAAATTTAAATTCTAAATAATATTTTATAAAATATCAAAACAATCAAATAATTTTTTGTGTAAATGAAATTATTAAATTAATATTGTAGGTGGAAAACATGAAACACTATTAAAAAAATTGAAACATAAATTACATAACTTTAAAAAAAGTATCGATCATTTTTATAAAAAGTATGGACACTTTCAATATAATAGGTAAAAATATGATGTAATAGGTAGCGCTTATATAATGTAATAGGTAGCGTTTATATAATATAATAGGTAGTGCTTATATTGTAAAGTATCTATCATTTTTATAAAAATGTCCATACTTTTTTCATTGTGGAAAACATTAATTTAAGGTTAGTTTTAAGATATTAATTTAGTAATTATAGGCGCCTAATGATTTATTTTTTACGGTACGGTATATATTATTATTAAATTAAAAACAATAAACATATATATTACATATTTATTATTATCTTTGGTTAATATTGTTAAATTTAAATTCTAAATAATATTTTATAAAATATCAAAACAATCAAATAATTTTTGGTGTAAATGAAATTATTAAATTAATATTGTAGGTGTAAAACATGAAACATTATTAAAAAAAATTGAAACATAAATTACATAACTTTTAAAAAAAATATCGATCATTTTTATAAAAAGTATGAACACTTTCAATATAATAGGTAAAAGTATGATGTAATAAGTAGCGCTTATATAATGTAATAGGTAGCGTTTATATAATGTAATAGGTAGTACTTATATTGTAAAGTATTTATCCTTTTTATAAAATTGTCCATACTTTTTTCACTGTGGAAAATATTAATTTAAGGTTAGTTTTAAGATATTAATTTAGTAATTATAGGCGTCTAATGATTTATTTTTTATGTTACTATATTTATTATTATTAAATTAAAAACAATAAACATATATATTACATATTTATTATTATCTTTGGTTAATATTGTTAAATTTAAATTCTAAATAATATTTTATAAAATATTAAAACAATTAAATAATTTTTTGTGTAAATGAAATTATTAAATTAATATTGTAGGTGGAAAACATAAAACACTATTAAAAAAATTGAAACATAAATTACATAACTTTAAAAAAAGTATCTATCCTTTTAATAAAAAGGATCGATACTTTACAATATATCAGGTAAAAATATGATGTAATAGGTAGCGCTTATATAATGTAATAGGTAGCGCTTATATAATGTAATAGGTAGCGTTTATATTGTAAATTATCTATCCTTTTTATATAAGTGTCCATACTTATATCACTGTGGAAAACATTAATTTAAGGTTATCTTTTGAGTGAGTTTTAAGATATTAATTTAGTAATTATATGTATCTAATGATTTATTTTTTATGTTACGGTATATATTATCATTAAATTAAAAACGATAAACATATATATTACATATTTATTATTATCTTTGGTTAATATTATTAAATTTAAATTCTAAATATTATTTTATAAAATATCAAAAACAATCAAATAATTTTTTGTGCAAATGAAATTATTAAATTAATATTGTAGGTGGAAAACATGAAACACTATTAAAAAATTAAAACATAAATTACATAACTTTAAAAAAAGTATCGATCATTTTTATAAAAAGTATAGACAATTTCAACATATTATAATGTAATAGGTAAATTTATAATGTTATCGGTATAAATATACCGGTTTACTTATAAAATAGATCAATATAATTATTACTTATTACATTATATAAGCGCTACCTAATATGTTATTGTACTTTATAATATTTTCGGTTAAATAATATAACATAATCGGTCTAAATTTTAATCAATCATTTATTTAACCGATTACGTCGTATATTAACCGTTTTTTAGACGCCGCACCGCATAACTACCCCTAAAACGGATCCTTGGAGAGAGAGAGGCCAACAAACAATAATCTTCAGCCTTGACAAAGTACACCGATGAAAAGACCAGGGCAAAAGAGAGAGCAGAGGAGAGACTTCATAGCCGAATGTGAAGTGAAGAACCTTTGCATAAAAAATCTGAGATCCAAAAGACGCTCACGGTGGGTCAATGGATCGCCGATCGTCATCTGCTGCTTGAAGGGCTTTCTCCGGCGCCTCCTCGATCCAAAATTGGTCAAAGCCAGCTCGAGAACCCTCCAATGCCATTGCATGTGCTTGCCCTGTTACAATTTCTGCCTGTGAAGCCAAACGAACACAAAGTAAGAGATCCTGCTGCACTCTTTACATCCCTAATGATATGGCCTATATAAGATGTGTTCTCATTCAATTTCTGGATAATCTTCTTAGAGTCACTCTCTAATGTTATTCTTGTAATTCTAAGGTCCTTTGCGAACTCTACACCTTGGAGGATTGCTATAGCTTCTGCCATAAACACAGAGGTGATGCGCTCGTTGTGAATAAAACTAGATCCTGGAACATATCCTACACTATCTCTAATTATGAATCCTGAGCAAGATTTCTTCTGTGTATAGGAAAAACAGGCATCAAAGTTCACCTTTGCTGTGGGCTCAAGAGGAGGTTTCCACCGAACTAAGACATGAGTGTGTGGATGGAGCAATGAGGAGGAAACATATTTGATTTCCATACAATGACTACGAACAAAGGTAACAACACTCTCTTCTGATTGGTATTGGTGTTCATAGATGAATCTGTTTCTTGCAAACCAAAGAGACCAAATAGTAGTTACAATAGAAACGTGTTTACCTTTATAGTGTGCCTTAAAAAGCCATAGGAGCCATTCCTCGAAACATAAGTTGCTTGCGTCATTTGACCACTGGATATCTAGTAGCCTCCAAATTTTCCTTGCGTATGGACAATCCCTGCCCACATGTGTATTGTATTCAATTGACTGGTTGCATCTAGGACAGGAGTTGCTGTTACTGACTCGCTTGATAAGTAGATTCTGCATTGTGAGGATATAGTTTCTTACAAATTTTCACAGCAAAATCTTTATCTTGTTCTGACACTGTAGCTTCCAAATTAAGTTGAATACATTATCAATGCCAATATTACCGTTGTTGTAGCTAATTAAGAGTTTATAACAGCTACGAACAATATAAAGACCAGAACCTTCACCCTTTCAACAATGGATATCATTTTGGGTGGAATTCGGCAGACGAATATCAAGGATGGTTTCTACATCTTCCTCATTAAAGATAGAGTTGATGAGATTAGAATTCCAAATCCTTCCATCCATAGAGATTATATATGAAACTAATTCCATTTGCGCTGATGGGGTTGATGTTACTTTGCGAACTGGGAACCCCGGAAGCCAAAAGTCATTCCAAATAGAGACAGACAGACCATTCCCGATCCTCCATCCAATGCCCTTCTCAAGAAGACACCTAGAGCTTCAAACACTTCGCCAAACAAGAGACGGATAAGAACCCAAATTTGCCTCCATAAACGACGAGTTAGGAAAGTATTTGGCTTTAAGAAGCCTAGCAACAAGAGAGTCCGGGTTTATAATAATAATCCAGCCTTGCTTAGCAAGTAGATCAATATTGAACTTGCCAAAGTCCCGGAAACCCATTCCTCCATCTTCCTTTAATTTGCACAACTCTGCCCAGCTACACCAACGTATACCTCTTTTGTTAGCTGACTTTTGCCACCAATAGCGCGCTGAAATGGCTTCAAGTTCCTTACATAGACTATTAGGGAGCAAAAAATAGGACATCACATATAAAGGGATAGATTGAAGAACAACCTTGATAAATACCTCTTTACCACCCATCAAGAACTCCACCCCTGAACTCGATTGTGAAACTTCTCTTTGAGTTTAAGGAAGGCTTTCCTCTTGTTTCTCCCAACAATAGATGGATGACCAAGATAAGATTCAGGATTATTTGTAATCACAACATCCAAAACTTGGTAAACCTCGGATTTGGCAATCTCGGTAACATTAGAGCTGAAGAAGGCACTAGATTTTTCAAAATTGATGATCTGCCTCGAACAAGCAGAATACAACTCTAAAATCAATTTTAATCCAAAGCCCCCTCTCTCGAAGCCTCACCAAAGATTAGGCTATCATCCGCGAAAAAGAGATGCGTTATAAGAGGGACACTCCTTGTTATGCGGACTCCTTTGAGGCTACAATTAGTGGAAGTCGACCGGAGAAGGGAAGACAATCCTTCACTGCAGATAAGAAAAAGGTATGGGCTCACCGGATCCTCTTGGCGAAGGCCTCTAGAAGGCTAGAAAATATCAATCAATTGACCGTTTATCACCACCGAATAAGAAACCGAGGATATGCAATTTATAATCCAAGAGATCCAAATTTTTGAAAAACCCATCTTTCTCATAATTTGTTCTAAAAAATGTCATTCCACACGATCATAAGCTTTGCTCATCTCGAGTTTAAGCGCGAAGGATCCTTTACGACCAGTTCGTTTTTTCTTCAGAGAATGTAGGATTTTCATAGGTTGAAATCACATTATCAGTAATTAGTTTACCAGGAATAAAAGCGCTCTGCGCTTCATCGATGCAGAGGTGGAGCGTGAATTGGAGTCTGTTTGCTAACATTTTTGAGATAATCTTGAAGAAAACATTACATAGACTTATTGATCGGAACTGTGACATATTCGTTGGGTCGTTCACCTTTGGGATAAGGACAATGTGCGTGAGGTTGATAGACGAAATAGGAAATTCCCCTTTAATAGTAGCAATGCAGAAATCGGAGACATCAGAGCCAATGATGTGCCAGAATTTTTGATAAAATACTGCTCCGAGTCTATCCTCACTAGAGGCCTTCAAAGGATTTATCGAACGAATAGCTTCCCAGACTTCTTCCTGCGAGATAATGATTCATTCAGTGAGGTGAAATGCTTCTATGAATGCCCTGTAATATTTGGTGTGATTTAGCTGTCCTGTCAAATATTTAAATACATAGTTCCTAAACATAATATATAAACCAGTGTATGTATATATATATTCGACACCGAAGCGATGGATCCACGACATTATGAATAATATACTTATAAATTTTTAAGGAAGAATAACTTATCAAATTTTATAATTACCTAAATATATTATTAATAAAAAATAAAAACATATTTAAAATATATAAAAATTTAAAATTTTTAAGAATTTGATTATCTCTGCTTATACTGTTTGATCTATTCCTACATCAAAGCAGTGACGGCATTTGGTGATAAAGTTTGGAGGGCCAACTTAAAACTTTAAAATTTTATAAGTTTAAATTAAAATTTTCAAAAATTTTGATGGGTTTCGTTTATATTTTTCCAAAAATATTAGAGTCTAGCTAAAGTTTTTGAAATTTTGAGAGGCTTTTGAACTTATGGGAGATGATTTAATTAAGGATATCAACACATTTTAAAGTTTAATTTAAGTTTTAAAAAAAAATTGGGAGGAACAAATTTTTTTTTTTAAAAAAAATTTAAGGGTCTAAACTATAATTTTTTTTAGGGGGCCATGGCTCCCACAAACCCTTCTTATGTTCTGCCACTGCACCGAAGTATAATAAAAATAATTATTATAGATACAAATATGTAAAATCTATAAATATGTAAAACATGAGTACAATATCTAAAATTTTATTAATAAATTTTAATCTATTGTTTTAAATAGCATATAATATTACTTATATATATCATATATAAAAATTGTGAAAAATCTTTATATGGAATTTTTTTAAGAGAAAAATAATACAATTGAAAAAAAAATGAAATAAGGTGGTGATTCATGCCAGTAGGTGTATATGGTGGTTAGTGGATCGTCAAAGAACTACAAAGGTCATAGGTTGAAGAAGATATTGATTGATCGTATTTGTTCTTATTTTAGTAATAGGAATCCAAGGACAAACTGAATTTAAAACAATCAACATTTAATCAAAAGTTAAGGTCAAAGTACATACTATTGAATTAAATGTTTAATCAAATTGAATCGAGTATATTGATGCCATTTATATTCTATAATCCATAACAGTAGCATCATACATATCTATATTCGATAACTGATAAGTTATTAAAGAATTTAATATCCCAATAACAATTGAAGCTCAAAATTGAATTTTCGTCATGATTTTCAAAGTAACCAATAACAAGGTTGTCTAAACACGTTATAAGAAACTGAAAATCTAAGTATTTAACTATTCTTCTCGGATTCATCAAATTAAACCAAAACACGTTAAAAAAATCAAAATCAACTCGAATATATATTTTAATTTTGATATATATCACAAATTATTAAACATCATAGGTTTAATACCAAATTAATAAAAACTAATATATATTGAGAGTGCAACAGACGAATCCAATCTTTAATAACAAAAGTAAACTCAATTGCATGTTGAAGCAATTGAATAATTATAAACAACAACAAAACCCTATTCCCATCTGCAATGGGATAAGGGGAGGTAGGGTAGTAGGCTGCCCTCAACGTCAGATTGAGAGCAACTTCCGTGGAAGACCTCTGGCAGTCCAAAAATTAAAAATAAAGATAAAATACAATGAATGTATAAATAAATAAATAAATAAATAAATACATAATTGGCAGAACTTCATATGCAGTCTACATATGTACGTCTGTAATAGGAAGTAATCCCTGTAAATAAATCCCTGAGAAAAATCTCTGTATATAGACAGAAAACGTAAGATCCGACTAATTTTAAAAAGAGGAAACTTGAAGCGAAGGATACACAGAAGTCAACGATAGCAAACTACTAGAAGGAATAAAAAGTCATGTCATGTAAATTACCAAAAAGGCAACACTACTCTGCTACCCTAATTCTAAGCCTTCATAAATTTCAATGTCAGAAACGTATATAATTGAATAATTATAAACAAATAATACAATGAATTTGAAAAGAGAACACCCGCAATCGCAATACAAAAACTAATCAGTTCAGCACAAAAGCTTGAATCAATTTGTTGTTCAATTAATTAAGCAAAATTGAAGCCCTAATCGATTAATCAATTGAAGACAAGACAGTCGCTTCTTAATATTCAGTCTCGAATCTCATAATTGGTTCTCAATTGTATATATTCCCAATTGTAAATTTCAAAATATTTTTAAACCGCATAAAAATTATAAACCCTAAGTTGTTCCATCATAATTTGTAAAGATGATATCAAAATTTCATTCGAATTTTTTTAATCCCATGAAACATCAATTTAAAATCAATTGATCCTTGATGATTCATCATAACAAGGGGATGATACCACTTATTAGAATCAAACCATAATAAATATGAAAAACAATTAGGATTTAATCATGTCAAATCATCAAAAATAAAAATAGTAGATGCGGACAATAAAAAAAAGAGAAAATAACCTCAGTGACCGAAAATGCCTTATAATATACGATTTTAACCAACTTTTTTGGATTTGCTAAAATGACCAACAAAATCGCAACGCGAACTCTAATTTTTCAACTCAGTTTCCAGATTCGCAACGCGATTTTGAAAAATGTGTTGCGATAGTTAAAATGTATTGCGAGAGTTTGAAAAACGTGTTGTTGCGATAGTGAAAAAATGTTACGATAGTGAAAAATCCAAAATAAGTTTATATTTTAACTATTCCAAATTCACGTGGAGTTTGAAACAATAAAGAATGTGTTGCGATAGTGTAAAAAATTCCCAAGCCATTTGTAAGATCTTAGTTTGAAACAATAAAGAATGTGTTGCGATAGTGTAAAAGATTCCCAAGTGTTGGCAATGCTCAATCTCACATAGTATTGGAAACACTATTGAGAATGTGTATTTAAGGCTTTGATTTCCCACTTCCTTGTTGAGTGGGAGAGAACAAGGGTGCTCTTACGCACCGCCGTCGCCGCCGTCTCGTGGTCGTGGTAATACGTGTCTTCGACACGTCCGCGCGGATACTATCTTTTTAAAGAAAATTCTCTGAGTTAAAAAATTAGAGTTCGTGTTGCGATTTTGTTGGTCATTTT